AGAAAATGTAACATCTGTTTTCATTCTTATGCAGACTACTATATATATATATAAGTATATATATATATATATATAAAACAGAAATAATCTGTTTCTTAAAGTAAAATTTTGAATTGCATATCTCTTCCTAAATTTTTTACATGAGTTTTTACAAATGGCTCCAAGCTAGGCAGGCAAGATAAGCTAAGCTAGACTCCAAGTAGTCTGCATAAGAATGAAAACAGATGTTACATTTTCTAAAAATGAAGCCTAAAGGGAGTGTATAAATGTAAAATAAAATGGGTCCAAAAATAGATCCTTGGGGAACTCCACGTGTGTGGGAGGCAGAGGAGGAAACAGATTATCTGAGGCCTATGCAGGAACTCTTGTCAGACAGGTAGGACCTGAACCAGTTTAGTGCAGAGCCTTTAAAACCACATTGTTCCAACCTGGAGAGTCCTGTGGTCAAAACCGTATCAAAGGCAGCTGTCAGATGTAAAAACAACAGAACAGCTGAGTCTCCTGCACATGTAGCCAATAAAAGACCATTAACAACGTTTAAAGTGCAGCTTTTATGCTGTGCAGAGCTTTAAAACCAGATTGAAACATTTCAAGGATACAGTGAGCATTTAAAAAGGACTGCAGCTGCATAAAAACATTTTTTATTAAAAAATTTTTTTTTGAAATTGGCCAAAAGCAAGCTGTAATCTGACACGCAGACAGAAAATGCCTGAAAGCCCCAACAGATGACCTCAGATGATCCATCTCTTTTGCCCGTTCTTAAATTTCCAAGCATTTTATTTGCAGCCAACATGAGGCGACCACCTGCACAGATGAGAGGAAAAGAGGCTGCACCTGAAGGAGCACAAAAAAAACTGGCACTGAGCAAAAACCATGAACAACTGAATCATAATAGAGTATTTTATCTAGATAGTCTTGAAGTTCAAAGGTTGGCTCCTTGTGTAAGAAAGCCACAATTTCAACTCTTAAAGATTCAGATTGGGAATTGTTAAGGAGGCATCGTTTCAGCCGAGCAGCAGGACAGATCTTGAATTGTTATCTGACTCCTTGGATGCTGTAAAACTGGAGCAGGACTAAACTGAGAGCCCATTATCGTCTGTCGCTGGTTCAGACTTCAGGTTAAAGTTGTTTTCTACGATGATCTTTCATAATGAAAATAACTGTTGTGGTCATTTCAATGTTTTCTGAGGTTGATTCACTTATCTTAAATTGGGTTATATCTAAAAGTTGCAGAGCATTTAATTAAAGTCATCGGGTATTTTGCTAACAGACACACAAAAACAGACATAGATCACATGCCTGTCATGGTGCAGGCAATAATGAATACTTCCTAACTGGAATTAGCTAACATGTTGTGTCAAGTATCAAAGCTACATTAGACAAGATTGAGAAATTTATTTGGGGTAAAGATTTTTTTTGGACCCCAGAAATTTGCATGTTACAAAGAGTGTACAGTAACATCCGTTCAAAAACAAAACCAAAGACCAAGATAAAATGTAACAATAATAAAAGAAACATGAACAAAATTACTTTTGTTTTTTAAATCCTGGATATTTCATCCAGACTAAGGAACTCACTTAAAAAATCTAAGACATTTTAAATATGCACCCCTGTTTCTCTTAGAACAACATTGTTTTTCAGTTGCATCATTTCACATTTTGTCTATGCAATATTATTATAAAATATCACATGAAAGTATGTTTTTGCCTATATATTTTTTAACTTAAATTTAAACTATTTTAGGTTTAAAAAATACAGTAATATGAACAAGAAGTTGAGAATTTTCATACACATAGTACGAGGCTGGTTTTGTTGTATATTGCAAGTAAAATAACACCTTCTTGTGCCACAAAGCTGTT